CATAAGATATGGATAGAGGAGTCAGGAGAGGAACAACCAAAAGGAAAGGCATGCTTCTAGGATGTATTATCATTATTCTGCGTGTATTTGGTTTGAAGACGATCCCATACAGCTTTTCAAGAGAAGTATTATAAGGGAGGTAAAAGAGTACGATATCCCGATGATATACAAGATTTGAGACCCTTGTTGAATTAAGATTAGAAAATGTATTACATTCATAATAAAAAAAAGAACAATTTTTTTTGTGTGTTCTTTACCCAAGTGGACCGACCACTCAAGCATTCCACTAAAGTGTCAAGCCTGCTTAAACTATAATGTGAATTAAAAGAAGGAATCAAATTTCATTGACACGTGTTTTTGATGAAAAACCATGACCATGGAAATCTTGAATCAGTTGATATAGATCAACATATATTTTTTTTAGCGGATGAAATTATTCCTCGACCACCAAAGCATATTAGAGCCTGTTGAGATAATCTTAAAAGCATATTCAAATCACACTTAAAATTTATTTTTGTTAAATTTAACAAATAGTTAGATCCTTCAAATATTCTTTCTTCAAAGGTAAATTAAAAACAAAATACACCCTTAACTAGAGTATTAATAGAACAAATTGCATCAATATGGCCTTCCTGGTAAAGTTTGTTAAAAAAAGATTGATAGCCATTCTATAATACTTATAAAGTTGAAGGATGAAGTATGAAATGAAGGGCATGCAAACTACAGAGAATGAGAAAAAGGGTGTAATATCCCGAAATTTTAAAACTCGAATTTAAAAAAATAAAATAAAATATTTATAATTAAATTAAAATTTAGAATAATTTGATAGAGGTCCAGAATTTGAATTTTACTAAGCAAAAGTTTGGTTTTATTTGATTTTTAATTATAGAAAAAATTACCAAAGTTGACCCGAACTTTTGTGCAATAATAAAAAATGTTAGGCCCTTTCTTGTAATTTTTTCCAAACTTTTTGACCAACATTTTAAGAGGAAAACTGGACGCAGAAAATGCAAAAAGGAAAGAAGAACAAAACGCAGAGAGAGAGAGAGAGAGAGAGAGAGAAGAGATGAGAAAGGGAGGGAGTTAGGCTTGGATCTAGGAGTCTTTGCGACCGTTGCGAGCTTGACTACACGATAGGTAAACTCCCTACTTCAATCCTCTTCCCTTTCTCTTGATTTTCTTCAATTTTTGGAAGAGGATATTTTTGGATTTTGATCCCAAAGGCTTTATTCTTGTAAGCTTTTGTTTCTTTGGATCCTAGGGAGCATGTTTTGAGTTTCTATATAGTGATCTAATATTTTGAGTGAATAATTAGATGAAAAGAGGTGTTTTGGGCACAAAATAAACCCTGAGAAATTGGGTTTTTGCTCCTCAATAATTTAAGCCTATTGATTTAGTTATAATTTTGCTATTTGAGCCCAATAAGATTTAAATTAAGGTTTGGTTTTCATTATAAGGGCTAATGGTAAAAGTTGGTGACACTAAGTGAAGGTTTTTAATTGATAAAAAATTATATAAATTGAAATTAGCTTAGTGATAGCTAATAAATGGTTTTGGTGGTTAAGTGATACTATGTGAATGGTTGGTTTAATATATGGACCATTGGGATGGATTATAACTCATAGACCCAAGTTGTGTGGTATGAGTTATAGTCTTCATTAATGCTATTTGACATGATAAGTGATGTGGATCACTTATATGTTGTAGGAATTGTTGGTGGAATTTGTTTAGAAGTTAAGGAACAAGCCGAGCCCTAATTTGTACAAGGGGAACCCTTTTGGTACCAAAGGGTTGAGGTAACAGGGAAAATTTATATTTTCTATTACTCTGTTTTAGCTATTTTTGAATAAATATTACTAGCTATCATGCATTACATGTTTTAAAAGATTAAATGTGCTTTATAAGGGTTATGGGGTACTACTTTGATTATAATGCAAATATATTTTTTTTAATTGTTTAATAACAATGTTTTTATGGAAACGAGATTTATAAATGTTATACTATTTTAGAGTGTTGAATGGTCAATACTCAGGAAAGATAGACAAGAGTAAAAAGCATGATCTTGATGGGAGTTCACCAATGAGAAGGTGTGGATTTTTGATATTTTATGGCACACTGTCAGTACTCAGTGTTGTCTTACGTATTGTGGGCTCAGTGCACTAAAGTGGTTAGTGTATTGAGTGTTCGACACCTCTCAGTAGGGGAGGAAATCCGACATATGAAGTGTGAGGTTAAATACCTAGGTCAAGGTAGCCTTCACATGGAAAGTAAGTTGGGCTGTCTCTGGGAGGGAGTTAGCTTCAACTACTTAGGATTCACGTCGAAGGGGCATAGGAGGTTTGGTGGATTAGATCATGCCTTAGACTATGTTTTGTGCCTGTGGAGGTATAAGTAAGTATAAGGTTTACCTGCGAGTTAAAGAGTGCCAGGGGACATTCTGTTGGTCATGAAAGGCCATACAGGCCTAGGTCATGCATTCATACATTTTAAATGGCTAAATTATATACTATGTTGAATTTATTATTCATTTATTTAATTATGACTTACTTTGTAATAATCAATGTAGATTTTTCTGTTACTGAGACTGTGGTTGTCTCACCCCTTTCTTTTCAATATTATAGATCCAGGTGAAGGATCCAGTGGTGGACGGGGAAAGGAGCAAAGCTAAGGGTTTACTTGTGATTTGTAAAGAACTGCAACCCCTTTCTTTTGAGCAAATATATTGTAATGTATTTAGGATTAGGGTGCCAGTAGGATATGATTATGTATGTGTGTGTGAATATGTGTGGATTGTGTGCTTGTGTATGAATTTTTTGTCTGTTTGCAGACTTGTGGCTAGAAAACTTGGTTATGGTGTGTGGTTTTGATGGATTTACTTAGTAGATCAAGTTTCTATTACAAGCAGATATTTATTTTGATATATATGTGATTTTATAAGCATATGCAAAGTGGTTGCATTGTAAATGATGTGCTAGGGGCAAACATACACCTTGGATAGAGAGAGTGGGTGCGTGGGCCCTACAAGGAGCTCTGAGGCAAGTAAAAATGTTTAACATATGTATTTATATAAATACATGGTATTTGGATTGATTTATGACTACTCTTGTATGATTTGTGCATTTTGGGGGTTTAAGGTTCATTTTGGGAAATGGCACCCGGGTGATCAAATTTTGATGTATGGGAGTTTTCCATCATTTGAATGTTCTATCAGGTGTTTTTAGTCTTATTTGACATGTTCAAAATGTTCCCACAGGTTTGTGACCATTAAGATGAGATTTGGACAATTTTGAAAATAGTTTTTACCAAAAAGCTGCACTTTTACATTCAGGTGTCCAAATCTTAATTCAACCGTTGGATTTCTCTAAAATTTGGGTCACAAGTAAAACCTTTTATAAGCTTCGTGTGGGCTTTGGAATCACATCGATCGGATATCGGACAGAGAAATGGTGCACTCCGAAAGTTGGTCCGGAAGTGCTGTCATGACAGCAAAAATAATCAATTTTTTAACATGTTTAATTTCAATCCGACCGTTGAATCTTTTTGAAATTTGATATACCTATAGTACCATTTGAATGTGACATGTAAGCTTTAAAATCACTTCGATCGAAGGTCGAATGATGAAACGGTGCCTCCCAAAAGTTGGCCCAGGAGGGCTGTCATGACAGTATCTTTTTATTTCACTTTTGTCTAGCTTGCTTCCGCGTGCTATAGGTAGAACCTACAAAATTTTTTAAAGGCTTTAAATGTTTAATTTGCAATTGTGTATTTGCTTAGTGATTTAAATGGTTTGTTTCCTAAGTTAATTTTAGGATTAATTCCTTAACCACACTTAATTTATTTGAATTGAGTGATTTTTGGATAACACTCGGGGCAAGTGTTACAAAGGGCATAGAGAAAAAACATGAATCAAAGATTCAGCTTCATCACAACCAAAATATCACTAAAAGTTTTGTTAGGAAAATGATGTGTTTGCAAAACATTTCCTGTGGATAGGGCCTCATAGGCAATTTTAATTTCCATAAAAATAGACCATAGATCAATGAACCAGAGGATGATAAAAGCTGGTTTGATCAATGAGCAGGTGAAAACCATTCTTCATTATATTTGTATAGGCACTGGAGGCAGAGCCCGACTAGAATAAAAAAATCTCTATGCTCGATAAAGAACAAGGGGCAATTAAGAATGGCAGAAGCAATTTGGTTATTGTTAAGGATAGAATAAGAGGTTAATTTTATGAATTAGCACACCAACAAATACCATTATGAATTATTAAGTCTTTGATAGTGGATACATACATTGTAGCCATGCGCGCTAGATCATCACTAGTAGGGAATTTGGTTGAGTAATTAATCGGGATACCAGAACTATTCCTAATTTTTCGCATCAACCTTAAAATAATTAATAATGCATGAGAGAAAAAAGTAATGATCATGAATTGTAGAGGCAAAATTGATATTTATACATTTCACCTTCAAAATTTTAAATAACATGGATTGAGAACTAACATTGATAATTCTTCAAAATTGTTTAGTAATTATGCTGCGAGTTAGTATGTTATTAATGATTGATAAATACTATAATTTATTAAAATTTTTATATTATATATTTACATGTTGATTTTTTGGTGAATTTTATGTGTTGATATTTAATTTTAAAAATAGTTAATATTTTAATATTTATATAAAAATCATATATTCTAATAATTCATGTCGTTCCTGAAAAAGAGGCCCGGGCTAGGCATACCAAAGCAAGGTGCCCAAACAGGAGTCACGTGCGGAGAGAGGGTGCGGGTCAAATCATGTTTCAAACATAACAAAATCGGCGCCGACTTGAGATGCAATAATTCAAAATTAAAAATCGAAAATTAAAATTAAAAAAGTTTAAATTTCGCAGAATTAAGGAGATGCTACGAGCGAACCCCTGTCATCCACGTCAGCATACACCGCACACATGATTCTTCCATTTCCACCCTTCCATTTCCACAAATTCGCTTTCCTCCCTACCAACCTTTTTCTCTCTCTTCCCGTGGAAGGCTGGAAGCAGCAGCTTCAATCTTTTTCTTCTCTCCCTTCCGAGCTAAACCTATTTCCCTGCAACCGAATCCTCCGCACCTACCAAGCCTCGTCTTCTAGTACCCCGAAGATTTGACTTTTCAATTGGTTTCCGGTAACTAATCGAATCCCTAATTTTTGTTCGCCGATTTTGATCCCCAAGCGCGTTTCTTTTTGAAAATTACCATTTGCGTTTCTTGTGTGTACGTATCGATCCGGCTTTATTGGGGTTACGATGCTGTTTGACTCCGGCTCCGAACTCGCTCTTGGGCGAGGAGGTTGGTTTTGAAGATATTTATTTGCATTTTGTGCCGGCGTGATGGGGTTTGGCCTGTTTGTTCTGCTCGAAATGAATTTGTGAAATTGGCTTTGTTGCCCAAAATTTCTTGGTTATGATTTTTTATGTGAGTTATGTTGTGGATATTATACTGGATGGTCCTTGTGGTTGTCGGCGCTCTCCGGTTCTTGATTGTGCGTTGAGCCGGGTTGCGGTGGACTCAGCTTGAACTTTTACTTGAACACACAGTGTTCTTGCTATTCGGTGTTATTTCAGAGTCATCAATTTGGAATGCTTCTCTGATACAGGATAAATGCTTTGCTTAACTTTTTCGGTCAACCAGTGATAACTTTGTTGAAGGTTCCCCTCTATTCAGGGTCTCTCTTTTCTGGGAGGAGGGGGTTACTCTTAAGAGTAACATAAGATTCGAAAACGTTCCTAGTGAATCATTTGAAACTCTACAATGTATGATTGGCTGGCCAATTTAAATTGAGCTATAAGTTATGATAGTGAAATTTGTACTTGTTAATTTTGAATCCAGTTATTTCTGCAATCTTAATCGCATGTAACTGCTACTGTCACTATTTATATACACATTTGATAATAACTCTCTATATATTTGTTAGTTCATAGTATCATTCTGAAACAATTGAATGGAACGATCGTTTTGTAGTTGCATGATGTGGTTCGATGTTGGGTATTCTCAACATGAGGATTTATTGTGATTATTATATTCTAAACGCACAATACTAGCGCCTGGAAGTTTTGCTCACGCCCTCATTCTTCTTCTCGAGTAGGAGGGTGGAGTCCTGTGATCCTGTTTATCATGCAAGCAAACTAACAGAAACACAGGTGATAAAAGCCTGAAATGAAATTTGCATTTTCAATGATTCGACCTATCCTAGAAAAATAATGCAGGATTTGGCATACGAAAGAATGCAAATTGTGGCGCTGATGTATCACAACATTGAATGAAACTTATAATATGCAGATTGCATGGTGCTTCAACGAGAACTGTAGAAAGGACGAGGAAAAATAGAAGTTATTTTAGCCTCGTGGGAGTTGAGCCTCAGATATCTCCTTTTAGAAAAAAAGACGTTGAATAGCTTGCTATTAGTTTTTCTGCATTTAGAAGGAACTACAATACTTGAAACGATTTATCTGATGCTAAGATTTTATTATAGAATATGGTGTTACGGTTTGCCTAGCTGACCACCATATTGATAAGTTAAGTCCTGTCTGCAGTTTCGGAACCCTTGAGATCGTTTTGTTCTTATCATGTGATCATATCTGGTACGTGGCATGCTAAATATCATTAGTTTTTCTTTTTCTTTTGTTTCTTTTTAGTGCTTGGACATGTTAGTTACCCATTATTTTGCTCGAAACATTCCTAGAATTATTTGTCATGCGTTCTACTTCGGATTTACCCTTTTTTTCATGGATTTTGAATTTTAGTTATGCTCAGTTTCTCAAATTGGTGTTATCTGTGTGTAGTTTCAAATTTTGTTCTTTTTTCCATTGTGGGAATGCAGACCTCAGTGTTTTTTTGAAGTACTGAATATTCCAAATGGCAAAAGAGAGAAGAGATGGTTCCTTGTCACATGATAGCAGTAGAACATCAACTTATCCAAGCAGTTCTAGTCGTGTCAAAAGATCCGCACCAAAAAATCCTTTGGAGTCTGAAGAACATGTCAGAGAATGGGAAGAAGCTAGGTGTCCTGTCTGCATGGAGCACCCTCACAATGCAATTCTCCTCATATGCTCATCCCATGAGAAGGGATGCCGCCCTTACATGTGCGACACTAGCTATCGCCATTCAAATTGTCTTGATCAGTTCTGCAAGTCATTTGCAGAAACTTCACCAACAACTCCCCATGTAGAAGTTCAGATCTCAAACTCTGACTTGACTCGCGTGCGGACCACTGAAACAAATCCTGTTGATATACAAGATGAAGGAAGCGAGGGATCTGTTACAATTCATTCATTATCCTGTGAAGATCATTCAAAATTAAAGTTAGTATGCCCTCTTTGTCGGGGGCAAATAAAAGAAATCAAAGTTGTAGGTGCTGCTCGCCGGTTCATGAATGAAAAATCAAGAAGCTGTTCCCGTGAGACATGCAATTTTAGTGGCACATATGCCGACCTCAGGAAGCATGCAAGGCTTGAACATCCCCTTGTGCGCCCATCAGAGGTAGATCCAGAGCGGCAGCGTAACTGGAGGCGATTAGAGAGGCAGAGGGATCTTGGAGACCTACTTAGCACGCTCCAGTCTTCCTTTGGGGAAAATAACAGGGTGGATGATGGTCTCCTGCCAATAGATGATGGAGGGTTGCTTGCTGTATTTTTTCTTATTCTTCAACCTTCATCTGTGAGGGGAACCTCAGGAACCAGACTGCAAATGCGCATAAGAAGGAGATCTTCTAGGCTGTGGGGAGAAACCTATGAAGAAGGGCAATCTGGATCCTCCTCTAGAGATGATGAAAATGAATCTTCAGATGGCGGGTCCGGTACTTGGAGGCGCCGAGTTCGGAGACGGATAACGCCTGAGAATGAACCATGACTAGAACTTCCAAATGCATCTAGCTATATACTTCGAATGTTCCCAAGTGGGCTTTCCCCCCCTTTTCTTTTTCTGCCTTTGGATAACTATGTGATTTTTCAAGTGATGAATCAATAAGGGGGTATCTAAGTTGATTCTGTTTGTTACAGGTGGAACAGAAGGTGAGAAGGGGGGATTTTTCGGATTCTGTCCTTTAGTCTGCTCCATTTCGCGTGGAACAGTTTATTTGGAGGTGCTTATTGTCAAAAGAATCGGTAGAAAGTGTGATTCAACGATACTCCATACTGTACACTTAATTTAATATTTTTATTCCTTCACCATCTGTGACGCAATTTCTCGAAGATTTTGAACAATGGATATTGGAATAAAATCTACGCGACATCATGTTTCTCTCGTTACATTGGCAGAGCTTGATTTGGTATTGAAGGTCGTCTGTCATGGTAGAACTAGCTGGGGATTAAATAATTACTGTTAGTAAATGAATAGTAAGAAGTAAGAGGAGAGAAATTAGTAGCGAAATTAGTAGTTACTGGCATATATTTTGTTCTTTAATGCGTTCATCAATAATTAATCTTGACTCCATCAACGAAAGGGAAGCTCAAATAACATAGCTCCCGTCCCTTGTTTGTGGGGTTGGATGCATCATGCGTCCGTCTCGGGGGTAGATTTTACTCCCTTGGGATCGCTGCCAACTGTGTAACGTGAGCTGTCAGTTTTCCTTACCCCTCTTTGTATGCGGGGAAAAAAAAAACAGACAAAAGAGACTGATGCTGTGTAGTGTGTCATCTGTCAATATAACATCTCTTCGGAAGGAATGAAAACAGTGAAGCTTGGAAGGAATGAAGATACTTCCTTCGGAAGAAGATGAGTTAGATAACTAATTTATACATATTAAAAAATTAATGTAGTTAGTTATTTTTAAAAAGTACTGCGGAATAACATTTCTTTTATTAATTTATATTACAAAGTATCATATTGAATGGACACATTTAGAGGTAGTTTAAGGAAAAATTATAATTATAATAAATATAAGAGAAGTTATCGAAAAAATAAATATAAGAGAGAATAAATTGGGGTCTTTCATTTAAAAATTTAAATTATGGTCTTCAAAATTTCTTTATAAACTTTGAAGAATTTTATACTCATATTATTTAACAAAGATCATTTTTTAAATACGTCACAGTCACTTGTATAGTAAATTATCAAATAGTTTTTTTTTTTAAAAAAAAAAGGAGTTCAAACGCGGTTCTCTCGCTCTCTCTCTCTCTCTCTCCTGATACATAATCGATTATCTGACCCCCAAACCACGTTTTTGTCTCAGATTCCAAATACCGTATAGCTACAGCGTCATGCTCCGGAAATTACAGACAAACGGCTCAACTCGACAATACAAACGGTGATAAAGGGATTCGTTTCGAAACGTTGAGAGTGCTCTGACCTATTTTCTTCACCAACCTCAAAACACCACAAAGCTTCCCTCCCCTTCTGTTTGCTTGCTGGCAGTGGAAGTATATGGATCTCTGAGACTCAATTCATTTTGTCTTTTTCGTGGATGGAGTGTGTCGGAAAAGGATCGGTGCTTTGATTTGGAAGGTAGCTCCGGAATTCTTTGACTACCTGTTGAAATGGCGACCTACAATTCGACCTCTGATTGTAATGGGAACAAAAGTGACTGCTGCACAACTGTGGTGTTGAACGTCTACGATCTCACCCCTCTTAACAACTACACTTATTGGATTGGATTCGGAATCTTTCACTCTGGCATTGAAGGTAAGAGCCGCCTTTTCTTTTCATCGTTGTTACTGAACATTCTTCGTTGTTTCTTCAACTTCTTTGTTTCTGCGTGCTTGATCACTCTGGCATTGAAGGTAAGAGCCGCCTTTTCTTTTCATCGTTGTTACTGAACATTCTTCGTTGTTTCTTCAACTTCTTTGTTTCTGCGTGCTTGATCCAGGTAAGAGCATTTTAGTACGATGAATACGCTCATTTTTGTGTGGCATTAGGACATTGCAATTTTTCCCCTTTTGGTTTTACTTCTGGAGTACACAAAGTTTAGTTGTTGCTAGGAATATGTTAGTGTTTTGATAAACTTGAATAGAATGTAATATGTTTTGGATTCTGGAAGGGTGACTGAAGGAATTTACATGTGCTCCGGAAGCACAATGAATGATTGGTGTTAAGTCGTGGCAATTAGAAGCACAAGAGCATGGTGCATTGTGAAAGTCATGATCATGAAACTCTGCAACTAGACATGGTTGGTTGCAATTAATTTAAGTGAAGAATAGATTCAACCCTGAAGTGATTTTACATATGTTGTCACGTTCTCTGTAGCACTGCACTGCTATGGATACAAAATATCATGTTGTTCTAACGAGGCTGACAATTTAAAAGTTGACCTCTACTGCGTGACGCATTATGCCTTTTTTCTTTTTTCGAATTAATGGTATTCTAATCCGTGTCTCTAAAACCAGTGACCCTAGAATACTGATTGTGACTGCTACTTTTTATGGGCGAGTAGCAAATATGACTATAGGACAAGGAATGGTTAGATCCAGACAAGCATATAATGTGAAACAATGAAACAAAAATTCATCATTTTGGAGTTGTATGTGTCATGGAGAGAGAAGAAATTGGTCTATACTCACTACTATTTGTTTAATATCCTATTTATCAAGATTTATCTCTTCTTTTGATTAAGCATACCATTTGTTCTTGTTTGAAAGGAATGGATAATATTTTGTCAGAATTACTATGGAAATGTTGTCGTTCAATTTAAGATTTTGTGGTTTCTGCTGATTTTCTTGACCTGTTTGGAAATATTCGATTATTGTATTCTTGTTTGAAAGGAGCTTTTATTTATCATGTGTTTTTTGGGGGCGAGGTGTTTAAACAGTATATGGCAGAGAATTTGGGTTCGGAGCTCATGAATATCCAACAAGTGGAGTTTTTGAAGTGGAGCCAAGGAAGTGCCCTGGATTTATATATAGACGTTCAATCACTTTGGGCCAATTAAATATGCGTCCTTCAGAGTTTCAGATGTTTATTCAAAATATGGCTTCAGAGTATTATGGGGATAGCTATCACCTTATCTCTAAGAATTGCAATCATTTTACAGATGATCTCTCCCGCAGATTGACTGGAAAGAGGATCCCTGGCTGGGTGAATCGTCTTGCCAATCTAGGTAAAACGCGAACAGGAATTTCTTTAAGCATTCATTAAGTCATTCTTTATCTCATGAATTCTAATTATGAACAAGACAGTAGTTCCTTTCTGCTTCTAGATCTACTCAGCTAAGTCAGACACGCATTACAGGTCACGCATCATTTTTTTTTTTTTTTTGTCTGCCTATCATTGTGGATTTTGAGGTTCTGGGTCATTACAGGACATAAGTTTCCTTGAAAATTTACTAAATCTCAGTCCCTAGTGTGTGATGTAAAAATAAAGTCATTTGTAATTCATTATGTCTAATTAGAGTTTGAGTCAATTGTCAAAAGTAGTCTGGCAAGGATTTCAGATTTGAGTGAAGGCTTTAGTCCAATCCATCTTTTGTTCAGCAAAGAAAACTCCACTCCAGAGTTTTACTTTTTATTATGTAATTTGAAGATAAATTTAGGCACAGAAGTCACTTGTCGTTATCTTTATAATAAAATAACATCATATTTGGGTGTTCTATCACTTCTGTGTTCAAAGAAAGCCATCATTCCGGGGCCTATGAATTTAAGAAATGGCACTGTTTTCCTGCTTCTAGTAATGGTCTATCCTTTTTAGCCATATTATCCCCTTTCTGGATAACACAGGTTCTAAGTATGGCCTTTTGGTTCTACTTTCAGGTGGTCTGTGTAGCTGCCTGCTTCCTGAAAGCCTTCAAGTATCTAATGTTAAACAACAAATGCCTGAATACCACGTCAATACGGGTGTGTGTATATTCTGTTATTTCTTAATGTTATCAACCTGACATGGAATATTAACATAACGTCTGTAACTTTTCTTGGTGTTGGCAGATGACGACGATCAAGAAACAGATGATGATCAAGAAATAGATGACAACCAAGAAGAGAAGCACCTTCTTTCTCCGTTGCCTAGATCTGAAGATGTTTTTGTTGTTAAAGGGGTCCAAGCAAAATAAAAGCAATGAGTTTTGGGTGATAAAAAGAACTCACAGCGAGAATGAAACACTTAAGATGTAGGTTTCTTGCATGATTGTCACAGTATATTGGACTTGCATTGGCTTTTTCCTTAGTTCTCCCATTCATTATGCCTGAAGCATTGAAACAAGACCTCGTGTTGTATTGTCTTTCGTATGACATCTTTTTAGGGGATAATTAGCCAATTAGGTTTTTGTGCACTAGGATTATTTCTTTGTGAGGCTCCTAGCCCCGTGAATGACATTAACACGTAGAAATTGTCTAAATTGTGATTATTTAAGAGCACCTGAGCCAGTTTCTTGAACTTGGAGGCATTTTCTTGGTCTTTTAGTGTATGTTTGATTTTTAGTTTGATGAAAGATCATTTGACAAAAATCATTTTTACGAAAGTCAGTTGTTGTAACGAAATTTGTATTTGAATATATATTTTTAAAAATCAGTTTAGCAAGTTGAAAATTATTTAAATTAATAAAAATTTGTGCTTTTGAATTTTTTTTTTGAATATACAATGATCAAAAAAGACATTAATTTATGATAATTGATCATTTTTGTTATATAAATATAGTATATTAAAAATGTTTAAAAAAAGAAAAAAAATTAAAATAACATAAAATTTAATGTTAAATAATAAGAATAAAAAAATATGTAGTTTAGTATTGAAAAAAATTAAAATATAATAAGGGTATTATGGTCATTTAGAAAAATAAGTACAATTTAACTCTCATATACAATTTTAAATCCATCAAAAAATAGAGTAGACAAATTTACATTTCAATTCATTTTAACTCGCATTTACAATAAGTGTTTGGTTATTTATACATGTAACTTGTCAATATAAAAATTCAAGAGTAGCATGATCATATCATAAATTAATGAATTACATTTAAAAAGCACATTTCAAAAGTTAAAGGAAATTAAGTTAGGCAAATCCACATCCAATGATTTTCTCAAAATACATCCATAAAGGTGAAGTTATCAAACGGGCCCAATTGTTCCAAGTTTGTATTTTCCTAGCCAAGGAAATATCAAATATCTGATTGTTCAATGGCACTTGCCTTCTTTTGTTTTTTGTTATTCCTGTTAGGGGGCTGTGATTTGCGAATTTGTTACTGATCGTCTCAATATGTTATGTTTGTTTTTGGATTAACTGATTTGTCTAGGTTCTGTCAATGTAATTGTATGTAGCGACAAGAAAACTCATGTGAGATGTTATGAATCATAATAGTAATACTATTGGATTGAATAATCTTCAATCATTTTGGCCAACAGTTTATGGGCATTCAAATTATCTACCTCAAACGAAATATCTTTTGCCTGGGCATTGCATGAAGAAATGTATGGAGAGAGAAAATGCAAATATATAATACCTTAATATTTTTAAAAAACATTATCACTTATCCAACCTTTAAACTTTATTAAAATGTAGGTCTTTAAAATTGAACGAAATATGAGAAATTAGACACATTTTTCCCTAAAAAAAATATTTTTGTTAATATATATAAATTGAGGTATGCAAAAAACTCCGTAAATTCCAAAAAAAAAAAAAAACGGTGTTAATAGCATGCTCTTTTGCCACCTCCCACATTAGCAGAAGAATTATAAAATTGATGCAAAATTTTCAAAATATTTTTTCACTTTCGTATTTAAATAATAAATAATATTATTAAAAAGCAGCCAAAGATTATTTGATTTTGATTGTGATGACAACTTGGCTCCACGTTGAATTGGTAGAACTTATCAAGTTAAGAAAAAAATCATGAAAAAAACATAATTTTAAATTCTCGCACTTTGATAAAATTTTGCTATAAGTCTTTACACTTTTTTTTTTAGTATTTCAAGTCCCTATAACACCGCCTCACAAAGAGACCTAGAGCATCGGAAAAAAAGTATAGGAACTTGAAACACAAAAAAAAAAAAAAAACAATGCAAAGACCTAGAGCAAAACTAGAGCAAAGTACAAGGAGCCAAAATTATGTTTTTCCAAAAATCACCTAACATTCTACATTTGAAGCTCATTAAAATTTAAAGCTTATACTTTTGTAGTTCTGCTCCGTAATTTAGACATTAGTTCAAGGAATCAAGTGCAATGAGGAGAAATACAATGTAAATAGCAATGCAAACAAGTCTAACCCGCAAAAACACTTAGAGCATTCAGCAGCATCCCTTCAGCACATTCATAAAATTGTTTCAAAAGAAGGATTCTGTCAAGGGGGCATCCAAACGTTTACATATTCCATTGTTGAATCGACCAACTAGAAATTCTCAGAATGGGTAGAGAATGTGGGGTCTTCCTTTCACATTTCCTTTCTGCTTTTCCTAGCTGACTTGACATCAAAAACCATCTATGCAGCTTTCCCTTCCAGACCCAATTTTGAAGTTAGCCAAGCACATACCTCATCCATCTCTTCCGGAATCGTGTAGTGCCCGAGCCTGTTAGAAATAAACCCGTGAATTATGAGGCCTAGTAAATATAATCACAATGTACAACGAGATTCAAAGAACCAGAACACAAACTTATGCAGGGCTTTCGCTTAGTACCCAGTATAGGATTTAAAATTTACGTCCTGGAATCCAGCTGAACCCAAGGCCGTTGATGATTTCTCACCAAATTTATAGAGAACCACCTCATCACCTGAAAAGTGAAATAATACATAAGTGAATAATACATATGTGTCAATATTAAGTGTCCATAGTCCCAGCTGAAATTACCTACAGGCTACAGTTGCAATGCCATAGAAGAAATTGGACTAATTCTTCAGCATTGCATGTGCTCATTCTATCAAGTTGTGTAATCTAGGAACATATTCAGTTTGAATTGTTTATGCGCTAGAGATCAATAAGAAAATCAAAGAAACACCACTTCAACAGTTTTTCTGGCAGCCAGGTTCTGAACTCAGGCTTAGTTTGCAAGCTGACACAAACTAAGTTACAGCCTAGATGAGAATGATTAAGACATATCACTTATATTTTATAAAGTCTGCCATAAAATTAAATTTAACAGTGATAGGAGAAGATGCTAGAGCAGGTTTCAATCAGGATTTCATAGGCAAGAGATAAATGTAACTACCTTTTCCGTGGCACAGCAAAATGGGCAAGGATTGAGCACGACTTTTGGCTTCCGCCACAGCTTGCATTTTGTTACTCAGGGTCCTGGATAAGAAAAGAATTATAACAATGTCACCATGTATTGTGCAAAGAAAGAGTAGGGTGTATCAAACTGAGATAAGCTGGAGCAGAATTAAAAGGCCAGACTTTGCACAGGGAAGCCAGCCACTCAAACCGACTACAGCACTTAGGTTGGCCGGATATGGATTGCCATTCCCATATTTTCCAACAGTGAAACATGTTGCAGAGTAAAGGGCGGTAGCCGCTCCCATGCTGAATCCTCCAACACCAAGTTTAACTGTTGCATATACAACAAACTTAGAATAATATCAACACATATAATAGGCTTTCATGGCTGTGTATTGACAAAACAATGAACAACAAAGACAATCATAATGAAATCAAATATGAAGACATCACTAATAGTGCCACAGCCATGAAGCAGGACATGAAATTGAAGACTCATTGGATCAGACAAACTTCATAGTACACATAACGTTTACTAATACCATTACCAACTTATATGAAATGCAAAATACACGATAGCTAGGTTTCATAAATGACTATCCTTTAAACACTCCATGTTGTTGACATTAGAAGGAAATGTACTTGGTGTTTTGTGGTTATGATCTCTCTCTCACTCTTTAATTGGTTGCAATCAGCTAACTCTTGTTAGAAGACTTCACTGTTGCTACCCTGAGACCAGAAATCAAGAATAGAATTATGGCTTGTGGCTTCCACCACTACTTTTCTTTTCTTTGCATTTTTCTGTATTTTGTTTGAACCAGACATCAGAACAAAGCCAACCTCCAGTCCAGGATAACTTGACAACACTTGGAAGGAAAAAAGAAACATAAGGGGAAAAGTTGGGTTCGCATATAAGAAGTTTCAGATCACATGAAAACCCATTATTAAAACATTCATTATGCCACAAAGTCAACTGATCTAAATAGTTACAGATGAAAATTATGATAAAAAAAACATTTTGCTTCTGGTAAAAAAACATTGTGCAAAAAAAAAAACTGCATAAATTTTATAATGTTACACGAGAAACCTACTGTCAGGAGGTTCTGTTGACAACAAATTTGCAACATGAGCAACTGAAGCATCCAAACCTTCTACATCATCAGGAGCATCTTCTGAGAGGTCTCCCACATCAAACCCTATCAGTCATTAAATAAGCAGTTCAAATAATCATCAAGACCAAATCTTAGGTTACTATCAGATCTGAATACTCAAAGCTTTGAGCCTTTGACTTTATGTTCAAGAATCCGTTTTCAAAGTTCTTTAATTCTAAAAATGCGAGGAAGGCTAAGTAATCATGCTAACAAGATGCAATTATAGCGCACTTGCCAAATGGCAGCAAATAAGTCTTTTTATAATACTTGAAAAATAGAGGTGAGTGGGTATAATTAGAGTCTAGAAAGCTCAAACTTACAAGCAGTTGAAGGAAAGCCACCGAATACTCTTATTGGTTGAGTCGGAGCTGTTGGACAGATCCATTTAATCTTGTATCATATAAATTAACATGAAATCATTCAGGAGTACAGAAATTACCACAATTTCTTATAATAAGGAACTATGAAACAGCTATCTCAGTCCTCTTTTTAACAATTCCATAACCCTTACATTTGGAAGTGGGAGAGTCTCTAATAGCTGAGACCAACTGTCAAAAGCGAAGCAGAAAACAATTATTTCAGTCATAATAGCATGAATTTAACTAAGTTAAAGTTAAAGGCATCTTGACTGTACAACGAATTTCACAAGCAATGCTAGATACCTATACATGTTAAAGAATCAATCACACATAGAAAAACAGACACTGTCAAAGGCGCAAGGATATATATATACATATATATTTTCAAAGAAGAAATCCATACTTGTATACCTGACAGTGATGCAAAAGGAGAAATGAGAAATCAGAGAGATATTTGAGCCTCGCAGCTCTCTAGGCTGAAATTTACAGTTCCATTGTAGATAGAAATAAAAAGAAGGGAAAATGAATTGAAATGCAGGGAAAAAATTGATAATGTTGTAAACTAAAACAAGTAAATAAATCTCAGATGTGATTATCGCTTTACTTGTTTTAGTTTACAACACATTATCAGCACGAGAGATGTTCATGAATATAAGAAATTCTTTCTCTTGTCTCTATTGTTCTCCATTCTCTGGTTCTCTATTACTTGCTTTATTTTACAACAGATAATAAATAAGATCAATTTTAAAAAGAATTCAAAAGAGGAAAGAAATAAAAGGAAAGAGGAAAGAAAAAAATATTTGTGATTACAAATTGCAGGGAACCTGAATGGCATACAAAAAGACACAGCAGACAGATATTTGAGCCCCCTTGTTGATCTCTGAACTGCAATTCACTATTCCATACGTTGATTTGAAGAAGAAGAAGAAGAAGAAATACATTGGGAAAAAATATAAACAATCAATGATGAGCAAGATCAGATTTAAAAGTACCAAAATGTTACTTTAGCATTTTATAATGATATGAGAGAAGATAAAACTACATAAGGAGCCAACCCATGGCAACTGCTTTTGAAAAGTTGCCAGAATACATACAAATAAATTCACACCTATTGTCACCAAAGTCAAAGATAAACTGCAGAACATATTTCCCATTCATAGTTTCATGAATTTAGAGTCGCATCAATTTTTTTTTTTTTTGGGGGGGGGGGGGGAAACCAAAAGGAAGTGTGGTTACCTGGAGCCATTATCACCAAGGCCATGTAGCCAAACTATAGTGGCTTGGTGTTTGCCTTTAGGCCTGACCACGTGGGTTTTTCCAAACTCGAAGGCTCTGCCAAGAGATCTTTTACCTGTAACGGAGCAGTATGAAAGTCAGAGACATTAGATCACTATCCTTCCCTGAACTCTACAGTGGATAACACAACTCATTCATGCAATAAAAACCAGATACTGGTAAGAAGATTCCCCAACTGATAAAAGACATCACAAAGCACCAAGCATATTACTGATATCGCCGCAGAGAAGAACATACCAGCACCAAGTGATGATCCAGTGAGGCTCATGTTAGTTCCAAAAACAAGAGCACCTACTTGGCAAATCTTAGCGCTGAAATCAAGAGACATCCACATTTTACAGTCAACACATAAATCCAGAAAATGAACCCCACACACATGGAAGCTGGAAACAAAACTGGACAATAAATCTTAACAGCAGTAGTAATGATGAGAGTCACGGAGAAAAATGACGCTCATTAACCCCAAATATGCATACACCCAAAACCCAAAACTCGTAAGCTGAAAACAAAACTGCGCGAACTTATTCGCCAGAGAAGAAGCACCACGAGACTATCAAAGTAGTAATTTTTAATGACAATCAGGAGTAATTAGTAATCGATGAACACACCTTGGCTGCTGAGCGGGGATTCCGAAGACTTAACCGGATCCTTCGAGAGTTCGTGCTTCTTCCTCCGCTCAATTTGCTATTGTCATTTGGACCTCTTACGGATTGCTCATTGATGATGATAGGAGACGCGATCGTACTGGTTGTGAGGCCAGGAACAGGAATCGTCACCGTTGATCTAGCTCGTAGTTAAATACATGATCGCCACGTGTCGCTGACTTGACTTTTCGTCAAACTTTTTTGTTCATGTCAGAGGACAGACAGTGGACATCTCGATTTGATTGGCTCAAGTATGGTCCATGCCTCCCATCAACCTTATGCTTTGTGAGTAGACAATCTTACCCTCGTAATATCCTTGATATCTCAAAACTGCCCATGGACATTTTTTTTTTCATCTGAAAATATAATTTATTTATCTATATCTTCAAATCTTGCAGGCATATCTTATATTCTTAAATTTTAAAAAGTGAAATTTAATTGGTTAATTTATACCCTCAAAACTTGGTGAGTGAAATTTGATTGATAAATTAAATTTATTATTATGTTTTCAAGAAAAATTTAATTGGTCAATTAAATTCCTTATCACGTTATTAAATTCATCATTATCCATCACATTTTCAGTTATGAATCTAATTTAATTCTTTATTATTTTCATTTGATGGTCCTGATGCTCCTATCTCTTCATTTCCCATGCATTCACTTATAATCTCATTCTACCATAAAATCTTCACCTCTTCGCCTCCCTCAATGCATTCATTTTTTGGCATTTTTGCTTCAAATACATTAATCTCCAAACAGGTCCAGTAAGCGGGGAGATAGAGAAGGGCGAGAGAATGAGAAGAAGGGAAAGGATAAGCTGGGGGAGTTAATCATTATGGCACATCTTACAGACTAACTCATGACACCTTCCTTCAGGTATTGAAAACGTATTGGGTAAAGGTCTCCTTTTAACATATCAACCATACTAAATCCTCTCGCGGGCATCCTAACTATGGAGAGAAAGTGATGATTTTATCCCCAAAAAAAAAGATAGTCATGAGTTTAAATAAAAGTCTTAACCTTTGATTGCGCTGAAAATTGATGGTTTTTACATGAACATGTCATCTTGACATTCTTTTTGAGTTTTCTCAATGCGCCAAACATAATTGATTATTATATATTGATCATAACATGGTCCTCAATTATAATTATCCTTGCAATACTTTGAAGTACAAATTCTTTTTTTTTTTTAACTTGGTTTTGAACATGATCATTATTTCTTGGCACGCAATTCTTTGCCTAGCCACTTATTTAATTTTCTTAATAGTTTACATGGTACTTGTTATATTTTTTTTTCCCTTCAATTATTTATGTCTAGATTATTAGAGATAATCGAAGTGAGGAATCATACAATCAACATGAAAGAGGTTATAGAGAACCCCGTTCTTGGCTTTTGCTACCAATTTATGAGGAGCCTCATTCTATGTTTGACTTGTGACATATTATTGAGATGCTTAGAACCCAACCAATTTTTATGAACGTTAATGTTTCATGTGAAGTTCAAGATTTTATTGCTTGACATATGAAGAACAAAATAAAAGACCCCGTGCACTTGTGTGCCATTTTATGTTAGTTATAATAGAATTTATCCTCATACCTTAAATGTTAAGGTTGTATAGAATTCAACTTTATAAATTGCATCACGATTTTTTATTTGTTAAATTAAAGGAATTTGAAAGAACTAAAAAAATCAACATAAATTAAGACAAGAATAATTGTTGTATAAAAAGAAAATTGAATTTGATATGTTAAACAAGTTGTTATTAAAAATTAAACTATATTTTATAAGTAAAGAAATAAATATTATTTGAGCAAATGCACATATAATCAGAATTTTAAGGGAATACAAATAAAATTCTCTCCCAAAGGAGAAGGGGAAAATATATTTAAAAATTATAGTTACTAATATTAAATTATTTACGTGAAAAGATGAAAATCAAAACTCTTTTGGCTCTTCTTGCACTTATTATAATATATATATATATATATATGTATGTATGTATTAAATATACTTTTTTATTCCTAAGAAAAATACCAATAAAATATTAAAACTAAAAATTAATTACATGAATACCGTACTTCTTTGCTAATAATCTCGATTATAAAGTTATAAGTTTTCAGTGATTTATGCTTCTTTTTTTCCAAAGAATTTATGCTTGCTTTATAAATAATCACATGCTCCATTAAATATAATTACTGTTCATCGAGATTTATTCATCTTTAAAATTCATAATTTAATAACTAATTAATTTTTTATATGTAAATACAATTTTTAAAATTTAATCAACTAACACTTTTTTGACCCTCATCATCAACCGACACTTAATAAATATAAAAACATATATTCTCTCATCTAAACATCATATTTTTTCCATTATATTTTTTTTAACACCTTAAATATTTTTTTTTTAAAAATTTAACTCAACCATGATCTACCATAGTGAACAAAAGTCAACTTATTTTATATTTTTTGAAATAATTTTATAATTTATTACTATAGTAAGAAACGATAAAACATAACCTTATAAAATATTTTACCCTTTAAATTAATGACCATAGTAGAAAAGATTAAATCCTTTTTCAAATAATACAAAACAATTTTATATAACTAATACACATTTATAATCATAGTTAGGTTATAGTCACCCAACACATTTTATATCAATAAATTCAATGTAAAATCATTTTATAATTGATTTAAGCTTGCACAATACAACATCTCAAATAAATTTTAACTTCCCACATGCCATTAGGCTAAAATCACATTTTTTCATCCTTATACTCCTAACAAGTGCAAACCATAAACCAATAACTAAAATAAACAACTTAATCTATTCTCAAAACAAGTCAATTATTTGGCCTCATAATCATGCCATTTTAAACCATTCAAAATAAATCAGATATCAAAATTACAGTCATCCAAAATATACCAAAAGTAGAAATAGTTTGAATGGCATGATTACATCATTACATTCGTATAATTATCAATAAATAAAAAACTCTAATATTGATAATATAACACATTAAAAATTATAAATCAAATACTCAAAAGAGACAGTGGATTTACGCCACTAAGCTTCAAGGATTCCTCCGCGCGCCACTCGTGGCTCTTCTTTTGAAAATTATTAACTACATAATGAGACTCAAAAATTCTAGTAACCAATATCAATTTATGATAGTGCATACAAACAGTTAAATATGTGCTTGTTAAGTGGGAAAATAACAATAGTATAATTCCAACAAAATATAAAATATTACAATGCATAACAAACATACATCCTTATTTCCCTCCATTAACCTCAAGCCGGAGTCCTCACTCGGTGCTAAATTACTCGACCAAAGATAGATTAGCTCAGCCCTTACAAGCCACGCTCCAATAAGGGCATACCACATGACACATAAATACAACAACAAGAAGTTCTCCAACACCTCCCACAATAATCAAACAAATTCATTACAATTATATAATATTACAATTTTTTTCATTTTCAACAATATTATAATATGACATTTCACTTGGTAAAAATATTTTAAAATGCATATCCACAATTTCATAATTTTTTCATAAACATAATAAGGTAATTTCTCAACAACACTTCATAATTTTCTCAATAATCATCTAATTAACATGAAACAACACTAATCACAAATGAAAAGCATGGTTACCTCGTAGTTTTTTTAAAAAATTATTTTTTATAATTTTTCTCTCACCACAATCTTCACCAACAACATAATCTATAAATAACATATTATTTATAAATATTATTTTTAATTATTGAAACTAATAAAATAACTCTAATAATAAAATTAGAGAATATAACATAATTTCTAATATCAATCTTAATACAAATCTAAAGTTAGTACTATTAAGTAAAATTTTTAACTCCTCTTGTAATCATTAATAAATATTAATAAGCTAAAGTCAACCTCTAAACTAATTTCTATTATCAAAATTTTCCTTTTCATTTCATAAATTCGTACTTAAAATATTCAAAAATTAAAAGTTGAGTCTCAAGTTTAGAATTATCATCCTATAGCCATAATAATCCATTTCTCATCCCAAATAATTATTTAAACCTCAATAAATCAACATATTTTGGAATTTAATAAAAATTTAGCTTAAGGTTTGATTCATAAGCCTCAAATTCAAAGCTCACTAACAAATTTATACTCTAAAATATTTATTATACTACTAATAATCTTAAGAATCACATTTATTTAACATAAATTTATCTCTCTTTCAAACCCTAAATTTTTTACCATCACAAAAATCAGAAATGAAAGGAGCTAGATGAATAAGAAAATTTTTTAAAATATTTATTTAGTTTTAAAACATTTAAAATCTTACCTTAAGTATCCTATTAAAAAGTTTTACCTTTAAAATATAGCTCCCCTGCGCTGATAAAGGTGCTCACAGACACTCCCTCTGTTTACATATAAAAGAGTAAGGAAATGAAGAAAAAATGAGAAGAGAAGGTGTGCATGTGGTTTTAAAAAAAAAAGATATGGGTCCCATCCTTTTTTGCTTTCCTTTCCTTCCTTTTTTTTTTATATGCACATCACACCTGCACAACGTGAAAGACGTCCCCCCCTTTCTATTTTGTTTTAATTCTTGCGCGCGCGCATATTTTATTTCTCATTCTCTTTCTCTATTATATTTCTTTTTTTTCTTTCTTAATTATAATTATAATAATTTTTAAAATTTTATTTAAAATTACATCCTAAATTAAATTTAATAATCATCTCATACTAATTTACTCATTTTTAAATATTTTTTAAAATTTTTATTAATTTAAATTAACTAATAAAAATTAAATTAAGATGTTACATTTTTTATTCATTTATTAATATAGATGTATTATCGGTGAAAATATTTTACAATGCTTTATATTTTTATTTTTTTATCATATAATTTTATTATTAAAAAAATGTTTGAATACAATGTCAATTATTTCTTAATACCCATGCAATGCATGTGATTATTTCCAAATTATTGAAGTACAAGATCATTTAAGTGAAGTTATGCTTGGCATTGACCACCGGTCTTCTTTCCAATCTTTTTTTTTCATTATTCATTGATTTTTTAGTAAATGTATGGTGTTTATAGGGTCAAGTGTTATTTTGTCTCTCAACTATACATGAAATATCATCAAAAAGCATAAACTTAACTTAGGGTTAATTTTGTCAGTCAACTTATAAATTTGTTGTCGCCATACCTCCGATGTTAACTCTCTCAATTATACCATTATGCAAGTCTCACATTAAAGTTTTTTAATATTGAATCCCACCATTTTTTTTATTTTGTATATTATAAAAAATACCTCTTATCTCCCAAGCAATTCATCAGCAAATTGATTCGAAGTTGCAAATTGCTACTTGCGCGCGCGCTCTTTATAATTAAACAATATTAAGGCCTTTCACATTGCTACTCGTGTGTGTAGCACATGATTTGTATCACTCATGCCATTATAAGCAAACACACAATATTATTCCATCTCTCTCTTTCATGCACTACCAACACTGAAATAAACCTATGCTAAAACTTTATTATGGCAGGAGTTGGATCTAAGAAATACGTGTCCACAACTTCAAACCCTTTATCATCGAATAACAATGGCAAGGCTACGATGATCAAACGCTTTATAGGGGTTTGCAAAAGGCTGTTAGGATATTGGGTTGCTAAGATCAAGGACTCTTTACAGCATGTTCGGCCCTGGCCTCGGATCACGCTGGCAAGGGTAAAATAGTCAGCTTTGGCTCGAGATCTCTCTCCTCCCTCTTTGCCTCTCTCATCTCTCTCCCTCCTTCATTCCCTTTCTCTCTCCCCTCCCCATTCATTTGATGGGGCTTGTGCTTTTACATCACTTGATTGCCCTTTCATGTGTCTTTATAAAGGGTGTAAAAAGGCCTATATCCATAAATATAAGCTCAAACTCCATTTAAAAAGGAGCATCCTTTGAATTCTCTATGGTTTGAGGTCGCACAGTCCATCCTTTTTAAACAACAATTTAGTTCAAAGTAAAGGACAGGCCATGAAGAACACATGAAGATGCCCTCATAAAAATGGACTAAGAGATAAAAAGCAAATTGCCCTTAAAATTCCTGGTATGCTTCGTGTAGTGATGATATTATAGTTTATGAGTTGTTTTTGATGATATAAAGTTGTTGGGGGTATGATTCGACAAAGCAATGACGGCTAAGGGATTTGTTAAGAGACTTGATAGATGACATTTTCATGTTTGAAGAGGGAGGAGAATATGCATACAACAAAGTGTAGCGATTGTATAATGGTTACTCAGTAATGGTGGTGCAGAGAGTAAAGGCAACGCACGAATGCATGCAAGCTAATGTTTAAGTGCATGTAGCAACCCTCTCTTTTTTTGGACTAGGGACCTTTCCATTTTCTCCCTCATTTTCCCTCCACTTTCCCAATTCGTACCATTCATATCATTTTATTAAATGATTTTTTTAGATTATAAAATTAATGAAGGGTGAGTGAGAATTAAGGAAGTAAAGGGAAAAGGATGGAAAAAAATGGAGAAACCTCTAATCCCTCTTTTTTTTTTCTTTTCTTACATTATGTGGTTGCTCTCACTTTAGTAAGGTTTGATCAGTGCCATCATGCAAACTTTATGCAAAGGTAGCGAAGTGTCACGGATGATATTTTCGTGACCGTGTAGAGACCAAGATAATGAACGATCCGCTGGTTAGCCTCGCACAATATGGGTAAAGGGGGCGACATTAGCATTGGGGGTGTTCTGCCTCAGTCTTCGGACTGAGTGCACAATTGGTCGGGGGCTGGTGCCGCCTCCCTGATGAGCCCATGGCAGGGCGAAACCAGTGTGATCCGTATGTGGTAAGGCTTATCCTGAGGATTATGAGGTTCTCTAGGACGCTGCACGGGCGCCGTGTGCTGCGCCAGACTCTCAGCCCGTGACAGAGTGGTATCAGAGCAGGACGTACTTTACTGTCGTGTGCGCGTGGGGTCCCACGTTGGGACTGGTGGACCTCGGCACCGCTCCAGAAAGGCCTCCGAGCAGGTGGGTCCAAAAGTGGGGACTCGGGCGGGAAGGTTGGCCATTGTCGACTCCACTCCTGTTGGCTCGCGGGTGCGAGTGGGTCCGAAGAGTGCAGGACTCGGGTGGCCACTCAGCAATAAGCTAATGTGTTTGTGGCAGTACTGTACGTACGATCCTTGGTCAGAGTCGTTCTCCCCTAGCACGAAGGCGTGCTAGATTGGGTGTGGGAGAATGTCACGGATGATATTTCCGTGACCGTGTAGAGACCAAGATAATGAACGATCCGCTGGTTAGCCTCGCACAATATGAGTAAAGGGGGCAACATTAGCATTGGGGGTGTTCTGCCTCAGTCTTCGGACTGAGTGCACAACTGGTCGGGGGCTGGTGCCGCCTCCCTGATGAGCCCATAGCAGGGCGAAACCAGTGTGATCCGTATGTGGTAAGGCTTGTCCTGAGGATTATGGGGTCCTCCAGAATGCCGCACGGGCGCCGTGTGCTGCGCCAGACTCTCAGCCCGTGACAGAAGGATGATGAGCAGAGAGATATAATTTTTTTATATTATTAAAAAATATATAAAATGGTGGGGTTCACTATACAATATTTTATGATAAAAAATATTAAAAAATTTGAATGTGAAACCTGTATAATAGCTAGATAAGCAAATTGCAAGGACCATTAATAGTGATGGATGTCAAGTTAATGTTGGGTTGATGAAACTTTGAATTTAAGTGTCTAAGGATAAAATTGACCTTAATTGAGTTTAAGGTTCCTAATAATCTTTCGGGTACAGTTAATAGGTAAAAATGACATTTAACTCATGCTTATATAACAATAAACATTAATAGAATAATTGTTAACATATAAATGTATAACATTTTTATTGATGCAACTATACTATATGGTTCTAGCTAACAAGAGTATAGTAAATATAGCATTTTTTATGAAGCTTATTTTAAAACTTAGGTAAATTCGGATCAAACACCCTATATAAATAATAAGGACCCCTCAAAAAAAATTATCCACAAATGAAGATTAATATGAAATAGATTATTGTTAAAATGAAAACATAACTTATTTTTTTTTCAAATACAACTTGTTAGTTCTTTTTTATGAATAATTTTCTTGAACTTAAATGTGATTCTTTCAAAATAATATAACAAAAAATAAACTTGTAAAAGTATCTTTACAATAAAAATTAATATTTTATTCTTTAAATTCTTACAGAAAAATATGACACTAATATTTATTCAAAAAAAATGACAGTTAAATTTAAAAATATTAAATGAATGACAGTTACGTGTTTGATAAAGTTTTTAAACAATAATTAAAAATATCAATTTAAATAATTATAAATTTAATATTTTTAATTATAAATAAATGTTTAAGTATTAAATGAAATCCTCAAATTATAACAAAAAATTTTATTTATAACTATTTAAATTAATATTTATAATTTATTTATAAAAAATTTTATAAAACACCTAACAATCTAGGCTGTGGAATCTAACCTTGATTCTTCCATTTATTTAAATGCTCTTCTGAAACGAAAAGGCAGATAAAGACAATATGAACAAACTGTAGATGGCTTGAAGCCAGCCGCCAAACCAAAAGTGCCCTAAAGTGAGTTGAAGGCTCCTTCTTTGGTGCAGAGCTCCGAGTGAGATGGGCAGCTCAGCCGACGCCGCCGTTGGTGGCCGTACTCCTCCGGTGGATAAGGGCGTCGATTATGCGCAGTACTTTTGCACCTATGCTTTTTTATACCACCAGAAGGACATGCTCTCCGATCGGGTTCGCATGGACGCTTACTTCAATGCTATTTTTCAGAACAAGCATCACTTCATTGACAAGGTTTGAAAGTCATTGTATGTTTATTTGGTCCTTTTGAATAGAGGACGAACCGATTGTTCTTCTGCACTCTCAGTTATTGGTGGCCGAAACATGTCAAACTTTTGCTTGACTTCTTTTTGATGCGGCTGAGGAAGCAGTTTAACTGGTTTTGTGGTTGGAAAATATGCTAGATGAATAACACTTGCCTAGCCATAGTGTAGCGTCACTGCTTGAAGCAATGTGTTTACTTGTTTATTTTTACTCTTATGGGAATGGATTAAGGAATTGAGACTTTCGAAAGATTCTAAAACAATAGAACAATAGAAGTTTTCCTTCCTTCTTTAGCATGTAGTAATAATTTACCAAGCAGAACTCTGTTGGGTTGTCAGTTCTGTCTGAAGCACGTGACATTGATTAAGCTTGTTCTTTATAACGTTATCTGGGAGAGATTTTGGGCTAACTTAAGCGATTTGAATGTTGAGAAGACTGTTTTGGATGTGGGAACTGGAAGCGGCATTCTTGCGATATGGTCAGCACAGGCTGGAGCAAGGAAAGTATACGCAGTGGAAGCAACTAAGATGGCAGAACATGCTCGTACTCTTATCAAAGCAAATAATCTTCAACATTTGGTTGAAGTAATTGAGGGCTCAATGGAAGATATAACTTTACCGGAGAAAGGTAAGCACAGCTTGCTTAATCTATTTTCCAAGTTCAGAATTTCATTTTTTGGTGGTATTTATCATTGACACATTTTAATTGTCTCATTTCTAATTTTCAATGTCATGCAACTTGCAGTTGACGTGATAATCTCTGAGTGGATGGGATATTTTCTTCTGCGTGAATCTATGTTTGATTCAGTAATATGTGCTCGTGACCGCTGGCTCAAACCAACAGGTGTGATGTAAGTATTATGTTAATTTTGTTGCTGGAATAATAATAAACTTTACACTTACATGGATTAATGTTCAGCAGCTTGTTTCTTTACATGCACAAACACCTTTCACAGTCTTCCGTTGATGTCTCAACTGCTACTAAAGAAACTGCTAATAGCCCAATACTACTACTCACTGGAACCCTTATTAGTCTCTTACTCTCTGGATTAATTCTATAACATTTAGGCACAAGGATGCCATCAGTTAATTCTAAAAGTAAGACCCAAATCTCCCTCAGTTCATATGGAGCATATATAATTGCCTTTGGAGTGTAATTTGTTGGGTGTCATAGCTTAGTAGTCTAGCATTTAGTGCCTTCTTTGCTCTTTTGGTGCTTTGTCAATTGTAAGATATATACAAAACTTATCATTGCTACATAAGCATTATCGTGTTCAAGTAATTCATTGTTGGCTGTAGGTATTATATTTGTATTTGGTAATTTGAAAAACTTTAATGTCATAGGTATCCTAGTCATGCTCGCATATGGATTGCGCCTATTAGAACTGGGTTAGTAGATCACAAAATGGGTGATTACCATTCAGCGATGGATGATTGGCACAACTTTGTGGATGAAACTACTACATATTATGGTGTTGATATGAGTGTTCTTACAAAGCCTTTTGCTGAGGAGCAGAGAAAATACTATCTACAGGTAAATTGCATTTTCGGGCACATTAGATTTGATGCATATTAAGTAAATGCAAGTTTTAGTATGTTTGGGAAGTCTACCATCTCTCACTTTGACTCTTACCTCTGGTTGCACTTTAAAATGATGAATTGCATTATTGAAATATCAGCTAGTTAAATGATGAATTTGAACTATCTTTGCTTTCTTATGAGTGGGTTTCTTACATAGATGGATATTGCCATTTAGCTTTACGAGTTTTATTTGAAAATTGGCTTCTGTTAGCTTTACCAGTTCTGTTTGCGTGTAAAACTGATTTATGTTCTTCTTCCTTGCCTACTTAATGTGTATTGTCTATGACTTTTGTAGACGTCAATGTGGAACAACCTTCAACCACACCAAGTTATAGGGACAGCTGCTGTAATAAAGGAAATTGACTGTTTAACTGCTACTGTGGCTGATATAAAGGAAGTTAGATCAAAATTTGATTTGTCAATAACCATGGAAAACGCAAAGCTTTGTGGGTTTGGAGGGTGGTTTGATGTTCATTTTCGGGTAAGCAATTATATGGTGTCTCCTTTTGTTATGTTAAAGCTCTCAAATTTAATACGATTTGTTTTTCCTGTTTTCATTCTCAAGGGAAGAATTGAAGATCCAGCTGAACAGGAAATTGAGTTAACCACAGCTCCCAGTGTTGCTTACAGCACACACTGGGGCCAACAGGTTCGTGCTACTTCTGTGTGTTGGTGTTTGATTTGTCTGGTGTGAATTGTTGTCATTCTGCTTAATATCGTCCCATAACTTTGAGAACTGTTAGAACATCAATGAAGAAGCAGATTGTCTTTTTTATTGGCTCTATAAAACACTTGTCTTACTGTGATAATTTTTCACTTCTATTGAAAGAGATATAAACTTTCTTTAATTACCAGGGTTTTTCTTTGTGCTTCAATTGATTGATCAGGCCCAAGTTTATAGCTATTTCATGGTATCTCGTGTCTCAAGCTCCCTGGAATCAGTTGCATGGTGCCTTTTTCCTTTTATGCACTTGCGTATTAAATGTTATTGTCATCTTACGTTTTAAATTATTTGACAGGTTTTCCTATTGCATCCTACTGTTCATGTCAGTGAAGGTGATCATTTAAGCATTTCTTTCATCATGGATCGCTCAAAGGAAAACCATCGATTGATGGAAGTTGAGTTTGAGTGTGATATTCAACAGTATTCTGGCAAGCTTCTTAAATCTTTAAAAAATAAGTACTACATCGAATGACAGTGACGATTCCTTATTCTGAGGACTCGGAGTGATGCTAAGGTAGATTCCATGGCACATGATGTTTCCTTTTCCTGTATTGTGACATTATATAAATATAGGCTAGAATTCCTGGCATCGCACCTGAGATTTTTTTTTGTTTTTTTGGGTATGAAGCAATTAGAACGTGGAATCAGTAAATATAACCTACCCTTTGATGCTTTAGCGAAAGAATGCTATAAAATCTATTTTTTGACTTTGTCAGGAATGAACATAAGATTTTGTCAACAGATGGCTTATCTCTCTGGGTTCAAGCGGGATTTAATCTGATCGAGGAAAAAGAAGGAAGAGAGCTGTGGCCACATTTTCATTCCAACTTTCTGTGGAAGGCTGCGGCATTTTTGCTGTATAAAGATATTCGTGTTTTGACGTTGCTTGTTACGCGAAGTTAAAAGTGTGGTTGATGAGACTTCTATACTTTGATGGCTTTTTTTATTACAAGTTTATCGTTTGGCAATTATAGAGGGAAATTGAAATGTTGCTGACGATTTATGCCCAAATTGTAGCATTATGCTTGGATTAACTAATAGTTCTAATGCACAGTGCTTCTGGCATATCGTTATCCCTGTCTGTGGACAGGCCATCTGGTCTTCTGGCGAGTATCCCTTTTCCTCTCTTTTCTTTACATGTTATCCATTTTTGCTCCCTTACACGTCCTTTTATTACCCAGACAATAAACTTTAGAGAAAATTGGCACAATTAGAGAAAATTGGCACAAGGGCCGTAAAATATGTCAGCCCAGAAAATTTTGGACAGAGTTTATAAGAATTTGAAACGTTGTCCTTCATAAATTTAATTAGAATATGATATTCCTTCTTTGCCTAATAAAAATTTCCCTCAACAAATATAAAATTTCCAGCACTATATATCCAAAATAGAGGAAAAATAATAATATCCCGCTTAACTGGTTCATGATTTAGAATTTCGTATTATATACACCTAACAATTTAAAATAAAATATAAAATTTTTTTTTAGATCGCAATAACAGTTCAGAGAAAATTTTTAAAATTTCAAATTGTCAAAAATCGTTATCTATTATTTGGTTAAAGTTAGCTTGGCTTTTCATTTTTAAAAGTAGAAGACTAAGTTGGAATTTATTATTTATCATTAAATTTTCACCATCTTTACATCTCTCGACAACATTATTTTTTTTTAATTGTATTAGTTAATTTTTATTGATATGACTTGTATATTAGACATAAATTTATTTATCATTGTATATTAATGATGTAATATCATAGATCAATAACACAAAAAACACATAATCATTTGTCCAAAACGGATCAAACACAGTTCACAAAAAATTTTGGACTTTTAGCTTATTACAAATAATCAAATACTTAAACTAATAAAATAAAAAAATTATGAATCTATAGCTTCATTCTCCTGTCAGTGTGCTCTGTTTTGTCGAGTATTCTCAATGTATCTTATCTCACATTTGTCTTTCACTATCGTGATTATAGCTCACTACACTGCTTTGCTATCTCGCATTTGTTTCTCTCATGTGGAGTTCCATCTTCTTCTCTGTCACATTTGTCTCTCTCATTCCAAAGATTTTTTACATTTTGAATCTCTTGATATTTAAAAAAAAAACATATGTTAAAAAGGACAGTTTTGTAAATTAATTATAATCTAAATATTAAAAAAATTATTTTTAAAATTTAAGAAAAGAGAGACTATTTCTTTTAGTTGGTCTTATAATATAGGCTATATATGTAAAAGTTCCTAAACTTAATATTATGTAATGTTCATAAATTGTCAATAATGTAAAAGTAATTCATTTTTTAGCAACACATGGGATTCGCATTGCACTTATGACTTTTAAACTTTGCAAAAATTGCGCAAACTACTCGTTTATCATTAAAATATTTACAAACCTTCGAAAGTGGAGAATGTAGATTTCTTTTTTTTTTTTTAAATTTACATAGATCTCTTTTTTATCGCTATTTAAAAAATGTTTAAACCCTAATCAATAATTATCATTGACATTTATTTTTATTTTTATTACTTGTGCCAACATTAAGTGGTGAATCTCCTTCATCCTCAATACAAGTTCGCATCTATTATAAAAATAGAGGTGCATGCAAAACTAAAATTTAGGTGAGTTTTATGTAATTTTTTTTTTATGTTCAATGAAAGTCTGTTTATATTTTGAAATAACAGTAACAATGTAAAACAAGAAGAAACCTTATTCCACTAGGTAAGTTAAAATTATTTTTAACAAAATCATATTAACAAAATTAGCTCTACAGTAATAATGTAATTTTAACAAAATTAAAATAAATTATTTTGTCGATAACCAGGCAACTTATATTAACATGAAACTTATGTAATAGTAATGGGAAAGTAGCAACCAACATGAAAAGGGCCTCTTGTAAACCTTGTATGTTCCAGGGAGCCCTTCATAAACCGAAGAGAAAAGCCTTGTGAGATTGTTACGTAAGCCCTTCAGTTCATTAGCTTGCAAGATGTTCTACAAATAGATGCTTATCCTATAGTAAATTGCAAATACACTACCAAATTTTGTTAATGCAATAAAGATCTTACGCTATTCATCATTTTTGTAATTAAAAAAAATTATAACACTAAAAAAGAAAACCGCAAAATTACTTTACCCAAATCGATTTATTTAAGAAAAATATCACTTTAGATCCCTATGCTTTAATCATGTTTTATTTTTGGTAGTTATAGTTTATTTTCATAGTTTTTCACTTTTTTATTTGCTCAATTAGAAATGAAATCAATGACTATGAACTGTAGTGGTGAAGCTAAGACTCTTAGGTAGGACGCTGCAACATCTTAAACTAAAAAATACGGGTGGAAAATGTTAACATTTTATAATAAGTAGTTCAAAATTTTAAGGAAATGATTGCAAAGTATTAAAATCTATACACCAAATTATAATTTTTTTTTTTTTAAATGAGAAGGTGCCTTTGGCCCTGTATCACCAAGTGGCTCTCCGCCTCTCCGCCACCCATAAGTTGGCTCAAACAATTTTAACTTTTTTTGAGGTCCAATTTCCAAATGCTTATCTGATGTCATTCTTCCTCTCACTTCCACTTCGTTTTAAAGAAAGTGAGTTCCCATTTTTCTTTTTAATTTTTTTTGCAGAATTTCTTTTTAATTAGACCAAATTTTTGAGGGAAAATCACACCTAAATCCGCAGAAAATATTTAATATCATAAGTTTTATGAAATGTGCAAAATACTCTAAAGTTTTAAATCTTATACATTTTTAATTTGTTAAAGAATATTCACAATTGGGCAAAAGAAAATGATAACTTGGGTATGAGTTTAATAGCAAATTGTAAATACTTGTTCTTTAGTTGGGAATGCCTCTTGCCCAGTTTTAAATGCATAGAATTTAAACTTTGAGAGTATTTTGCTCATTTTATGAAATACTTTACTAATTAAATCTCTTCTGTAATTTTTTCAATTTTTAATAAGAGAATTTTATATTTTTTTGAGGTTAGTATGTTTTTTCCCACTTTTATAACCACGTTAAGTTCATTTCAATAAAATTAACGCTGTTTCAAGACATCTCATGATCTTTCCGAATATTTTTCAGAATAAAGAAACTAACGTGATAGGCTGAGTAAATAAAAAAAATATAAAACCATAAAAATATACTATAATGATTCAAAACAAAACACAACTAACGTATAGGGAATTAGAGCTGAATTTTTTCCATTTATTTATTGAGAGAACATAGATACCTCGTACGTTCAAAAATTTAAAGTATTTTTTAAAGAGTTTGATGTTCAAAAATATAAAATATTTTTAATCTTTTAAAGTATAATTATTATTTTTTTAAAAAGTACTTTTATTACTGAATGACTTTATATTTATTGTAAGACGTTTAATAGAGATAAGTATGAAAAGATAAGGTTAGTTTGAAAGTAGGTAATTATTTTATTGAAGGGTAAGATTCAGTTAAAATTGTCTTATATTTTTTAACTGAGGGAGTAGGTATTAAGGAATCAATTAATTTAAATTAGATCTCAAGTGTCAAATTTTAAGAATTTGTAAATTTTTTTTCTTAATTTTACAATTTTATTGTAATAAATTTTAATATGGTTGAGGAATAAATAAATTTATTTTTCTTATTAAAACTTAAAATATAAGTTACAAATTCATTACAACAAAATTACAAAACTGAGAGCCGAACTTATAATTTTCTAAAATTTAACATTTAAAATCTAATTTAAATTAATCCTCTCTATCATTCTCCCTTGTTTATTTTGGCGACACAAGTTTTCTGTTAAACATATTTCTTAGAATTTGGTTCTTGGAAGCAATGTCTTGAAATTGGGAGAAAAGGAAACAAATTATTATTATTATTATTATTAAAGCAGGACAAGACTTAAACCAACTGCTTTGCTCAGGTGGTCTTACTTTGCTAGTTGGTTGGTTAATTGTGACATAGGCCAACCTAGCACCATCCAACCACGTTCATCATTTGAGTGGGCAACTACGTATGTTTGTTAACCAAAAAAAAAAAAAATGCCTCCATAATTCCTTCTGGAAAATAAATTGGTGCCTAGAAAAATTATTTTGATTTTGTACATTTTCTTTTCATTTTCTATTCTTATAAATACTTTTTTTACGCATCACACAAAGTTTAAGAGCTAAACGCGAGGCATCGACTTGGCCGGGAAAAAAGAGAGAGCCAAATAGTACATGGGCCATCCCTATGAATTATGGGGTATGTAATATATTTTATATTATTTTTATTTTTTTTAAATATGACATGTTGATAGCGAATGTTACTTCAATAAATGACAAATTAAATCAACTCTAATTTAATTAAGAATCAAGTTTTTTCTTATATTATTTGTTCATTAATTTTGTTTGTACAAATAATATAAAATTTATAATAATTCATATCGTCTATAAGTTACTATTAACTTGGTTTAATTTGTATTCTCTATTTAATCATTTGATATAAAATACTAATATACTATAGTGTCCAATTTTAGTATCATTTGACCAAATTAAAGACTACTATCTCAACGTGATATTTTTACAAGCAAGATTTGATAAATATATCTGAATCTGATATTGTTTTCGATTCTATATATATATATATATATATATATAAGCATGAAGAGTAGGTTTTGTCTTTTTTAATTACTACATACACGAGATTTAGAGTTTAAGCCCTCAACAATTTATTTAAGTAATAAAACCTTCTATTACTCATGCCAATTTTATTTGGTTATTTTCAAGACTCTTTTAATTAATTCATTAAAATGTAAAAATTAATTAAATTAGTTATTTGTAATTAATGTATCACATATCTATACTACTCTTCTACAATTACCTCTAGTATTTAATGAGATTTTTTAATTTTTGATAACTTTTTATCCCAAAAAATTTGAGTATTAATTAGGGATATTTTAGTAAAAAGAAATAACCTAGGAGGCAAAAAAGATTGATTGTTATACAAAAGACTAATGAAAAATGTTACGAAAAGCTTATATAGGTAGAATTACTCATGGAGTCCACATAAAACCGTAAAATAATATAAAATTTATTGAATACTTGAGCATAACAAGTTAACAAAAAGTTATCAATGAACTT